ACACAAATGGCAACGAACAATGCTCACAAAATCTGACTATTACCATTGCAAAATTTACATGTAGTTTCCCTTTCCACTTAATCCTATCATTTGGCATGGATTCATCTCCAATGCTTCCAAGAGGATATCATGATGGTAAGTGGGGTTTACTTGACCTGTTCGTCACAACTCCATGGAGGGATATGCACGGATGGCGACAGACGGTGCCTACAAAATTAGATTAACGATACAAAATTTTATGTAAATTCAGTTCTACTTTCCACTTAATCCTCTCCTTAGCATTGATTCACCCCCAATGATTTAGAGAGGATATCGGGATGGTAAATGGGGTTTACATGACTTGTTCGTTACAACCCCACGGCGGGACACACATACACAATAGTGGACAATGCTTACAAAATCAGATTAGTGGTGTAAAATTTGACGTATATCTAGTTCCCCTTTCCACTTAATTTGATTCCTTTGCCATGGATTCACCTCCAATGCTTTTGAGAGGATATTGGGTTGGTAAGGGGGTTTGCTTGACCCATTTGTCACAATCCAATGGCTGGATACGCACGAACAACAATGGACAATGCTCACAAAATTTGATTAGTAGTGTAAAATTTGATGTAGATCCAGTTTCTCTTTCCACTTATTTTGATTCCTCTGGCATGGATTCACCAACATTGCTTCTAAGAGGATATCAAGATGGTATGAGAGTTTATTTGATCTGTTTGTCACAAACCTATGGCGCAAAATACACAGATGGTGGTGGACAGACCTGTTCATGGGCCGGGTCGGGCCGGGCTTGAGCTGGGCTTTTGCTCTTCATTAACATAAAATTTTCAGGCCCGAGTGCGAGCTCGACCCGACCAACGGAACTACAACTTGAGCCCGAGCCTGACCCTCATAAAAGCCCAAAGCCTAGGCCTGAGTCTGAAGCCCGAGAGAGAGGACTCACCACCGGAGAGAGAGAACCTATTCACAAGTGGCGCCGATGCCTGAGTTCGCTAGTTCCTGGGAGTCTGAGAGTGGGAATGAAAATTGAGAAAGAAAGAAGATAGAAGATAAAAAGAGGGAAATGGAAAAGGTGGGAAAACTTAACGAGAGAGAGAGAGAGAGAGAGAGAGAGAGAAAGCTACCGGAGAGAGATGACCTTCACTGGTGGCACCGGCCACCAGTGCCACCAGTGCTTGAGTTCACAGAGTAAAAATGGTGCACTTGGGTTCGCCAATTTTGAGAGTTTGAGAGTGAGAAACTGAAAATGAGAAGAAAAGAAAGAAGATAGAACGCTACTAAAAAGAGGGAAATGGGAAAGGGTTAGACAGTTTAGGAATTTAGGGTTTAAACTATATAAGTCTGGCCAAGCCGGGCTCGGGCCGAGCTTTTTTGACAAGTCCCGAGCCTGATCGGAAAAAAAACCGAATCAGGCTTTTAGGTCAAAGGTCAAGCTCGCAGGCTAAAAATCATGTTCAAGTCTATCTGGGGGTCGGGCCGGCCCGTCGGGCTACCTGTCCCATGAACATGTCTAGTGGTGGACAACACTCACAAAATCATATTGCAGTGCTAAAATTGACGTTTATCCAGGTCCCTTTCCACTTAATCCTCTCCTATGGAATGGATTACCCTCTAATACTTCYGATAGGATATCAGGAGGGTAAGGAGGTTTACTTGACCTGTTCATCACAATCCCGCGGCAGGACACGTGTACATTCGGTTCCCTTTCCACTAAATCCTTCTCCTCTTGCATGGATTCACCTCTAATATTTCAGAGAGGATATCAGGAGGGTAAGGGGGGTTAACTTGATCCATTCGTCACTTCCCTGCAAAGGGATAATAAATAGGGATGGTGGCAGACAATGCTCATAAAATCATATTACCATTGCATTTTTTTGTACATGCAACTCTCTAATGCTTTCCGAGAGGATATTGGGTTGGTAAGGGGGTTGACCTGACCCATTCGTCACAATCCCATGGCGGGATACACGTGGACGGCGGTGGATGATGCTCACAAAATTAGATTAACGGTGCAAAATTTGACGTGCATCTAGTTCTCCTTTCTACTTAATCTAATTCCTCTAGCATGGGTTCACCTTTCATGCTTTTGAGAAGATATCGAAAGGGTAAGAGGGTTTACTTGACCCGTCCATCACAACCCAACTATGCGATACATAAGGGGGTTTATTTGACCCTCTCGTCTTAACCCCACAGTGGGATACATGTAGACAACGGCAAATGACGCTCACAAAATTAGATTAACGATGCAAAATTTGACGTGCCTCCAATTCCCTAATAACTAAATCTGATTCCTCTTGTATGAATTCACCTTTAATCAAGATTTAAATTATTGATACGATACAACCTGTATTATATGTATCATATCGGTATAAGGAATGGATCTAGGATACACTACGATTGGCATGATACATGTTCAGTCGTGTATCATAGGAATGTATTATATGTATCATGTGTATCGACGGAATACACATGAATATTGAAGCGTATCGGCTGATACGCGGCAATACACACTGATTCGAGCATATCTCCATTTAAAAAATATCAATAGGGTGACTCAAACTCAGCCTCAATGCCTAATCCGCCTTTTCTCTAACTTGTTGAACCACTAGGCCGCCTCATAGCTCATGGTGACAAAATAAATAATATATCAAAATTACATTTATACAAAAAATTGATTTTTAATCTTAATAAATTTATATAATTACAAATATTAATAAAAGAATAAWTATTTTAGTACTTAAAATTCCTAAATTATATGATATGTATCTTAAAATTTTAATATATTTTTATAATTATTTATTGATATTTTAATTTACACTAAAAACAACATATTTATTATTTACAAAATATTCAGGAATATAATATTTAATTGAATATATCAAATTCAATAATTTAAGTTTATATCAATAATGATTTTTTATTTCAAAAAAAATATAGAAATAAAAATGTTAAGAATTGTTCCATTATTTCAGTAATTAAAAATTAAAAATTTGCATATGATATGTATCTTAGAAATTTTAATAGACTTGATATATTTAAGTAAAGATTATATATTTTTATAAATTATCAATTGATATTTTAATTTACAATTTATAATGACATATTTATTATTTATAGTAATAAATATATTGTTTATCAAACATTTCAAAATTAATATTTAGGTCACAATTTTTGTTAATGTTAAAAAGTAAAAGTAGTAAAATAGTAATATAATAATTGTATATGTTTTGTGTCTTGAACTCTTGATTGATGGATTATCAACAAAATTGTATAATATCTATGCATTTTATTATATTAGCTATAATGTATTTCTCTCTTTCTCTCTCTCTCTCTCTCTATATGCATTTATACCTTATTTGTGGCTATTTTGACCTCAAATTTAGTATAATTGATGTATTTGTGGAATTTGTATAGATTTTCCTAGTGTATCCATGTGTTTCCCTCTTTTTCGTCCGTATTCATATGTTTGCAAAGCATATTTGTATCCACATTCCTATCCAAGTTGTCCGATATGATACGTAATGCCGATACTCACAAAATCAAATTAGTGGTGCAAAATTTGACGTACATTAGCTCCCCTTCCTACTTAATCTGATTCCTCTAACACAGATTCACCTCTAATGCTTCTGAAAGGATATTAGAATGGTAAGTGTAGTTTATGTGACTCATTCGTCACAACCCCGCGGTGGGACATGCATAGACGATGGTGGATGGCACTCCCAAAATTAAATTGGCGATGCAAAATTTGATATACATCTAATTCCTCTTTCCACTTAATCTGATTTCTCTAGCTTGGATTCACCTCCTATGCTTCCAAGAAGATATTGGGAGGTTAAGGGGGTTTAGTTGACCCGTTTGTCACAACCCTGTGATGTGATATGCACAGATGGTGGCAAACAATGCTCACAAATCGGATTTGTGGTGCAAAAGTTTACGTACATCCAATTCCCCTTCCACTTAATCTGATTCCTCTAGCATGGATTCATTTCTAATGCTTCCGAAAAAATATCAGGATAGTGCGTAAATTCAATTTAAGTACATAGCTTGTGATAATAAATATTCACCTCCAATATTTTTGTTGGGGTTTGGTGCGTAAGTTTACAAAAAAAAAAAAGAAAATGTTTTGTGGTTTTTTCGAATAACTTTTCAACATTGAAATTGCCATTTTTGTTGTTGTTTTTTTTTTTTATTTTTACAAAGTGTTTTTATATGGTTGTCGACGTGGCTCCTACACAGTACCATTTTTTTTCAAAAAATAGCAATAAAAACCAAACAATACCATAAAAATTTGTTTTCTCAAAAATTGCAAAAAATACAGTGAGACCCGTGCCATGTTTTCATAAAACCAACCATGTTAGCAAAGAATTGGGTTAAGAGAATTTTCCTAAATTTTTCTCCCTTTGCAGGGCCGTCAATGAGTCCTGCTCTATCCGATAGAACTGAACCTACCAAACCGATTATGTGGTTTTAGCTCCATTATTTGTGCTTGATCAATAATTAAGTCGGGAGTGATTCTTATTGATTTATTGTTCCGCTGATGGTCAAGACCCAAATTGATTATATAGTTAATAGTATATGGAAGGTTTTTTTTTTGTAATTTTTGTTATATTATATTTTAAAAGACTAAATTTTATAAGTAGTATAAAGATAAATTTGGTTATAAACACTTTGTTTTATGATTTTTTTCTGTTAATAAGTAGTGTAAAATCGAACTGGGATAAACTTTATACGTCGGTTCTGTAGGCATTTGGTAAACATGTACATTTTACCGTTTAATTAAATCGATAATCGATGTAATAAATATATGAAAATGATCGATGTATTTATTACATCGCTCGCTCTTTCTCTCTCCGACGAAATGAGGCTGCCATAGCAATGGTTGGCTGTCGGCGACAGCAGTGGTTACCAGGGCAAGGTTGACGGTCGATGAGAACAGAGAGGTGGGGACAACAGTGGTTATCTGTTCATCATCTTCCTCCGACAGCAGTGGTTAATTGAAAATGGCGTCTTCCGACAAGTTTGTCTTCCTTTCAACTCTGGTTGTTGTTCTTTTTCTCCTTCCTGTACCAGCTTCCTCACACGACGCGGCGAACCACAAACCAGTCCTTGAATACCACGGAAGTCCTGTCCTCAGCGGTGACCTGAAAATTGCCGCGATATGGTATGGCACCGTCGGCCGCGTCCAGAAATCAGCCATCCACAAATTCACCCGCTCACTAAACAAAGACAACACACGTGGAGCCACATGTGTCGGCATGGTGGAGAGCTATCAAAGTGCAGTCCCTGGAGGCCCCAAAACAAGCCCTACCATTCGAGTGCGCGTCGCCAGGAAAATAACCGACAAGTCATATTCCATCAACAAAATCTTAACCCAAGATTTCATACCAGGTCTTATCAAGGAAGCAACCGGCGGATCCACACATTTGGTGACTGCCATCTTCGCAGCGAAGAATGTTTCGGTGCAGAATCTGTGCAGTGGCAAATGCTCAGACCATGGGGTGGTGGACACGGGGCCGGATGCTCAGCTGTACACGCTGATCGGGAATCCGATGCTAGAATGCCCTGAAGCATGCGCTTGCCCGTTCTATAAGTCCGGGGCTAATTATCCGATGCCTCTACCATTGCAGCCATCGAACAAGGATGTGGGCACTGACGCCATGGTCATCAACTTTGTTGCAGCCCTAGCTAGTCTCGTCACCAATCCTTCCTTAGTTTGGTTTGAGGGATTGAGTAACACCATGGACAGAGCACAAGTTTCTTACCAGACGCCGCTCGCAGTGCTTTATTTCTTGACCGATCGGCAAAGACTGCAATCTCTCGGTTGCAGTGGACTTTTATCTCAATGATTTACTAAACGAAAAGAAGTGTTAAATTGTACAAACATCCCATTTCCATTTTACACTCTCATGAATCCATCGATATAATAATAAATTTACACCGCAAACAAATGAAGCCTAACGTTGTTTAAACCCAATTACCCGATTAATAGTTGGGTTCTTTTTGGGGTTTATGATCTATCCATTGGAATCAATTAATAATCAATCTGGGATTGGTCCATCCGGTCTTGAACCACGTCCCATCCATTGACAGCTCTAATTTACGGCGTACATATTTGTATTTATACTCTCATGAACATAAATTAGAGGAGAAATGAATCTTCAAATTGAAGTTAGAGGTTTAGGTGTCGTTCTTTTGGTCTGAAGTCTGATGTTTGAAAAGCAGAAAAAACGGGACTATGAAAAAAGTGTTCTTTTTTTTTTGCTTTATCTGGTATTTGAATGTTGAGAATTTAAGTTGAAACGTGAATGTTGAATATGGTTACTTTACAATTTTGCCTCGATAATTGATAATGAGAATGGACATTTACATTAATTATAATTAACATTCATAAATTGATATTAATCATTATTTTTTAATAAAACTAATTTTAAAAAATAATAAATAATAAATAATAAATAATAAATCATGACAAAATAATAACAATAATTCTAAAAATTAAATAACTAAAAATAATAATAACAAAATAAGTAATATTAAAATTAATAACATCATTATAGTAATTAAAATTAATAAAATAATATATAAAATGGTTACAATAATAACTTAAGATAATTAAATAAAAATAATAAATTGAATAAAATAAAATAAATAATTAAAAAATTAATAATGGGTAGCTAATAAAATAATAATAAATTATTAATATTTAATAATAAATAATTAAATGAGAATAATAATGATAGTAATAATAATATTAATAAAATAACTCAAATAGTAAATCAAACTAACAATTAAAATAATTCAAATAATAACTAAAAATAATTGAATAATAAAATAAAATATTATTTTAATAATAAATAATTAAGTGCAATAATAATTAAATATTAAGAAATTATTTAATATTGTTAAAATGGTATTTTAATGCTGCTATTTATAATTTTTTAATACGACAATAGTGTGTTATTAATAATAAATAATGAATAAAATGTCGAAGGGTCATTTTGGGGATAATAATAAAAATGATGTCAGGCCTAAAAATCTTTTTGATGTCTTAAGAATAATAGGTATTAAAAGAACCAACTTGATGTGTGAAATCTTTTGCTTTTAAAGATCAAGGCCTATGCAGTTTTTACTAAGAAACCCATGAGTCCCCTGATTTGAATTGTGCTCTTCTAAAAGACGAAGTAGGGCCCCTGGACTCAACTTTTGTGGCTGTGGGGCTCCATTGTTAGGGTTCGGGGATCTGTCATTCTAGTATGGCTATCAACGAGTCAGGTCTGGTGTAGTACATAACCTATATCAATCATATTTTAATTAAGGAAAAAAATTCCATTTTAGTACCTTGAACTTTAGAGATAGTGTAAAATTAGTACCCAAACTTTTAAGTGTCATTGTAGTACTTGAGCTTTCAAAAAGTGTCAAGTTGGTCCTTGTCGTTAATTGACTGTCAATTATCTATTGAAAATGTCAAAACTACCTTTCAAAAGAAGAGACTTTCATTGTCTACATTGAGACTGAACCGGTTGAGGTGTTTGAGATTCTATTGTTTTCCTCTATCATATTTCATATTTTTTCTATCTTTTTCTTTGAAGATAACCTGTTCAGTCTCAATGTAGAAGATAATGAATAGTGTCTTCTTTTCAACAGATAACTGACATTCAGTTAACAATAGAGACCAACTTGACACTTTTTTAAAGTTTATGTACTGTGTGACACATTTAAAAGTTTGGGTACTAACTTGACACTACCCCTAATGTTCAAGGTACTAAAGTGGAATTTTACCTTTAATCAATAATTGGGATAGTCGGGTCTGACATGAATATATTGACAACTACACTTAAATATGGTTTTTGATAGTATAATTTTAATAAATATGGCATTAAAATAATAAATTATTTATATATTAATATATCAAGTGTTTTTAATCAAAATTATCTTATATATTATCTCTAAAAATTTATACATAAAATACAATAAAAATATAAAAACTAGGACACCTTTTAATATTGTTAACAAAATAATCGGTTCGGGTCTGAATCGGTTCAGAACAAGTAAAAACCAGAACCGACCCCATTACTAATCGGGACAAAATCTCTTAACCATAACCACTATAATCGGTTCGGTCGGTCCGGGTCTATCGGGTAGAAGTAGAACCGACCAGTTGACAGCCTACAGTTCAGTTGGCCCAGGTTACATCATTCATTCAAACCTTCGAGTCTAAAACCTCATTTTCGAGTTCCACTCGACCTACTAAGCCGCTGCTAATTTTATAACGAGCACGAGCACATTGTTACTCTCATTCCATGGAGCTACCGAGATTTCTCCTCCTTCCTTCCTATATTCTCTTGTCATGTGATCTTCTATGAAAACAAAATGTGGGTTCTAAATAATCTTCTGATTTCAGGTGAAAAAAGGGAAGAGATTGGTCGATCTTGTGGTCTCGATTCCGTGCGGCTGGGATTCAAAGATTGAAGAGAACTTTGCTCGCAACATCTATGAGTTGTCGGAAGCAAGAAATTGTAAGGACTCGAATAGAGAGAGCGGTGGTTTTAGAGCTCCTGTTTCGGAGAAGGGGTGAAGAGGACTACTAGGATTGCGGACCAATTGTTCGACGGGTTCTCTGTTAAGGAAAACCATATGGTTACTTAATCAGATGAAATGGATTGCTTTAGAAAGCTTCGACCTTTATGGTGTTATGTTTGTAAGGCTTTACAGATCCTCAAGCTCTTTCTTCTCTTTTTCAGCTTATGCATTCAAACCCAAGCTCAGGTCTTTCAGTAGCTCCGTGAGTATAACAAACCAACCAAACATGAAGTTGCTTTTAAGCTCAGATACTAATCTGCATCCAGACATGAACGGAAGGGTTTCGTCTGAACCCCAGAAAAAGGAAGGCGAGAATCGGCTCACCCACATTTTGGAGACGAGCAAGAAACCATCTTTCTTAAGCTCTGCTTCCAAAATTTGCAAAATCATTCTCCAGTGCCAGCAGTGGTCGGATACGGTAGAGATGAAACTCCAGGGACTGAATGTAGTCTTGAACAACTACATTGTGAGTCAGGTCTTGATGTGTCTCCCAGCTGAATTGGGTATCCATTTCTTCATTTGGGCCGAATCACAGTTGGGTGTTAAGCATGATTACTTTACTCACAAGTCCATGATTTTTGCGCTTCTTCGAGATAGCAAGTTTGATCTCTTACAACAGTTTTGGCAGAGAACCAAGCAAACTGGGTTTCCCATCCATCGGTCTATATACCGGCTTCTTATATCTGGGTATAGGAGGGCTGGTTTAATTGACGAAGCTGTTCAAACTTTTGATGAGATGGTGGGATCTGATTGTAGGGTGTTCGGTATAGACTACGAAAGATTTATTGGAGTGTTGGTAAAAGAATCCCGCTTTGATCTGGCTGAGAAGTACTATGATAGAATGATTGCACAAAGGTGTTCTTTGAGTTCACTTACATATTCAAGATTTGTCTTTGGTCTATGTAAGGTAAAGAATCTGACTCTCATTGAGAGACTTTTAGAAGACATGGACAAGCTGGGATGTGTTCTTGACATTTGGACTTACAACACATATATAAATTTACTGTGTAAGGAAAACCGGTTAGATGTGGCTCTAGAAATACTGCAGAAAATGAGTCAGAAGGGAAGAGACCCAGATGTTGTTACTTATACTGCAGTTATCAATGGTTTTTGTAAATTTGGAAGATTTGAGTCCGCGGTTGAGATTTGGCATGAAATGTCAAAGAAGGGGCTTACTCCAGATGGTGTAGCTTGTGGGGCATTGGTCCTTGGTTTATATAACAATGGGAAGGTTGATTTGGCTTATGAACTTACTGTGAGGATGATGAAAGGTGAGATTGTCTTCAGTAATTCAGTTTACAATGCTCTGATTAGTGGATTTTGTCGAGCTGGTCGAATTGATAAAGCCCAAGTAATAAAGTCGTTTATGGGAAGGAATGGGTGCCATCCAGATTTGATAACATACAATACTCTATTGAATTATTGTTGTGATGAGCTTATGTTGGAAGAGGCAGAGAACTTGATGGAGAAGATGAAGCGAAGTGGTATTAAACCTGATAGGTACAGTTACAACCAATTTATTAAGGGTCTTTGCAAAGCTAACAGGTTTGACAAAGCATACCATCTTATAGTGAATAAGATGCACATCGAAGGTTTGTGTGATGTTGCCTCTTGGAATACTCTCATTAAAGCACTTTGCAAGGTCCGCCGCACCAAGAAGGCATACAAATTGTTTAAGGAGATGTGTCAAAAGGGGTTTGTCCCAGATGTTGTCACCTTTACTATTCTTATTGATGCTTTCTTCAAAGAAGGTTGTTCTGACTTAGCAGAGGATTTATTTCATCAAATGGTGGGAATGGGTTTGGTTCCTGACTGCATAATGTATACTACAATGATTAATCACCTATGCAAGACTGAGAGAATTGAGCTGGCTCGAAGTTTTTTCCACAGTATGATTGAGAAAGGAATTGCCCCTGATGTGGTTTCATACAATGCCCTTATTAATGGTCTTTCCAGGGCATCTAGGACTAGTGAAGCCATGTGTCTGTATGAGCATATGTGTACCAGTGGTCCTTATCCTGATGAGTTGACTTATAAGTTGATAATTAGAGGGTTAATAAGGGAAGAAAAGCTTGCAACGGCTCGTATAGTGTGGGACCAGATGATGGAGAATGGGTTCACTCTTGACAAATCTGTTTCTGAGGCATTAATTAATGCAATTCGTTCTAAAGATGCATCTCACATAGATATTAGAAGATGTATGTATTTTTATTTTTTTAGAAAAGCTCCTCTTTTGCCTAGAATTTACAAACTTTTTAGTTATTGATACTTGATGCCCTTTTTTTTTGCAGGTTGAAATTATATGGTGCTAGTTTAATTTCATTTATAATCTCTTGTGAAGCCTATAGAAGGCAGAGTTGAAACTGACAAACTTCACCAAACAAAGGTGCATGGGTAAAAGCCAGCTTCATTAGTACTTTGCAGCTCTTCCTGGATAAACAGAGGCCAAGGACATTGAGGTATGAATAATTAACTTCTTCTGGAGCAGTTTACCAATCCAGTGTTGTTTAATCTCTCTAATTGTTTTAAGAGTAATGGATAAAAGAAAGAAAGCCTAGGATGTTAATGTTTTTTCAATTATTGCTGTTTTCTGTCTTTACTAATTTGTTTTTGAACATACGAAGGAAAGAAACACTTGTTATGACAAAGCTTTGTAATCCATTCAGAGCATTTTAAAAGCTAAAACCTGAGATGTAAGCTTTGCATGCTCTCTATTTAATAAAAAGGGTTCAAATGGAGAAAATTTTAGAAGGATTCAAAATTTCAAATAAGAAATGAAATTAGATCACAAACTTAAGGGAGGTTGTAGAAAGATTCAGAGATGGAAGATTAAAGTGCACCTAGAGCATCAAAATGATTTTTGTAGCTATAACTTATATTAATGACCAAGGGTTTATTTCAAACATAAAAATGCTTCTGTGCATTGCCTTATATTATAGTAAAAAAAGGCTCTCTCTTATCAATGGGGGTGCCCCCATTTATCAGAAAATTGATGTGCTCAAGTGAGTCCCCTATTTGTATTAATGAGTGCAAAAGGATGGAAAGCATTATTTAATGGCAGTGCAATGAAGATAAACCGATTATTTTCATCACTTAAGATCAAGCATCCTTAACAAGGAAGAAACCAAAGATGATGTTTCCCATAGAATTAGAGCAGGGTGAATAAAGTGGAAGAGTGGATCTATGATGCAATGTGACYGGAAAATACCTATTAGACTAGATTACTAGAAGGAAACTAAGATGAGGACATTGAAGGTAGTTGAATGGCAAGACTAGCAATGGCAGAGTAGAAACAAGTTCATTATTGAGGACTTAGGATTAACTACAGTCTAACAGGTAGGACTGCAGCTTGGGTAGGCCCAACCCGATCCTGAACCAACTTGACACAAGCTTTTGCATGGGTTGAGTTTCGGTAGCTTGAGCCCAGCCTGACCCAACCTGAGCCTGTCCAACATTGTATGACATGAATGTATATATGCATGTCTATATTGTGTATTTGTGACATATATATGTATGGATATTGTATAATACACCCAAAAGCATATATAGTTATTTGTCATATGTATATTATCCTAAACTCAAACCCATGCACAAATATACATATATCATGCATTTTATTTATATGAAACATCTTTTTGTTATTATACATAAAAAATATGTGTATATGCATTCAAAACCTGATCAACCCACTCACGCTCAACCATGCCTGCCCGAACCTGAGCTCGGCCTGCGTAGTGTTAAGTTAGGCATGGGTTGGGCCAGGCGCGAGCCCCAAGTTTGATTCTTAGGGTTGGGCCTGGGTTGAGCCCCAACCGGTGTCTAAGTTGCCCCCTACTAACAGGTAACAAAATGAGGGAAAGTCAACTTAGATGGTTCATCCATGTGCAAAGATGACAAGTGACTACACCAAAGAGAACAAAAAACTGGATAGGCTTTGCAGGAATCTATTATGATGATGATAACTTATTTAATTTATATATATATATATATATATATATATATATATATATTTGGGGGGGGGGGTGAAGAAATCTAGATAAACCATCTGAGAAACTTCTCTACTAAAGATTTTTATCAAGTTGTCTACATTATAAATCAACGCATATGCATATTAATTATCCTACACATGATCAAGGTTTTTTTTTTTTTTTGATCAGTAAAAATCTTTCATTAATAACAGAGAGATTAAGATACAATAGCTAAAGATTGCATAGGAAATTGCAATCTCCAGCAATCAGTTACAATTCTGCCCAATATACACATGGACAAGGTTTTGAAATATACATTTCCTGTTTTTTCCAATCTCACGGAGACTATGGATCTGGCTTATTGATATGTTGTTATTTGGTGGTTTGGCAGAGCACATTTGTTAAATGATTGTAAAATCTGAGGAAATATAACATGGTGCAGTGTACAGTTGTACTGTAGTACATGCTATATCCATTGTTGAAGGCCCTTCCTTGGGTTAAACAATTTCGTTGCCCCTTATCATTTAATGAATTGCTTTTCTTCTTGGACACTCAATAGACTTGTATAATAAAGTTAACACAATCAAATCTTGCAAGAAAACTTAGAATGGCCAAGCTCTGCTGTTCTAATACTAGCTATTACACTTACAAAGAGGTGGAACATCATTCATCTTTATGCTTTTCTTTGAAGTCTTTAACTTGATTATTTTGTTGGATGTTGTATTTGATGCATTTGATTATTATTTGCTAATAAAGTAAAATTAATATTCTATTTCCTTGCCACCTGTTCAACACTCTTCACCAAGTTCTTTTGTTCATTTCTCATGTCTTTTTGTGTTTCCTTGCCTTTGTAATTTCAGGGACAAATTCTGTCAGACTACTCAGAGAATTCCTGATAATGGTTACCTCCCTAAACACTTCCTTGGTCCAATCTGATGGCCTAGAGTGGTCCAGTTTTTCCTTTCAGATAACAAAGACCGGTTGGGATTATCTTCAACCCCTTCCTCTTGATACCACCCACTTGGCTGTACCTTCACCATGACGCTGTATCTCCAACCTCACAAACAGGATTAAGATTCAAATGGTTGGTTCCTTTAATTGCAACGAAAAATACCTTCTCTGGCTGGAAGACTGCATTCTTTTTTTTCCTCATGCAGATATGAGCACAGCCATTACAAGCCTTTTCTAGCCTGGGGCGAGTTTCTGAATACATACTATATGTTCTTACTTTACTAGAAAGAGTACCGTCAGACTAATATGCAATGGGTAGCTTGAATTGTAACCTTAGCCAAGAATAACATTGCAGATTATTGAATATGTTGTGAACCTAAATGCTTCTGGGGAAGGAACGGTTGGAAGTAATGGGTTATGAAATAAGGTTGTGTTTGGTACCTTGATGTTGCATTCCCATTTTGAATCCACAAACGCACCAGATAGGTTATTTGACTTGAGTTTTTGGTGGGGGATATATGACTCCAAAGAGACCACGCTTGCATTCATTATGTGCATGGGGGGCGTCAAGAAGATGTTTCTTATATTTGGGGTCATTTCCACTGAAGTTGTCCTATGGGGCACGTAATGGCACCTATTTGGCTATTTGTACGAGACTGTACTTGTAAGAATATTGTGCAGTGTGTTTTATAGCAAAACATCTCACTTTCATGAGTTCAAATGTTGCAACTTAAAACACAATGGTACCAAAAGTCTTCTAACTTGGTCCAAGATGATGGACTGTTGGGATGTCTGAAATATAAATTTTAATTTGGATTGCTGATATTATGAATTAACAATTCAACACTAAATCTTAAGGGGTCGTTTGGCAAGTCTTTTTTAAAAGATATTTTGGAAGCTTTGACAGTCAATATARCCTGAAGACCATTTGGTTAAAGCGCGTCTTTCGATGTATAGATAAGTTGAAAAAAAAACAAAAAATTCCATTTGGAGCTTCTTAAAAACTGTCCAAAATGGGTTTTATGTGTCTTTTCAGTATAATATTTTTTGGCAATTAAATCTTTTTCCAACCAAATAGGAAAAAGGTAAAAACATGTGCTGYTAGACTTCTAAGAAACCCGTGTAAAAAGATGCACCAAATGGCGTAAGTCTATAATGAATAGTGTGAAGATATCTTGAATGGCTCATATTTATTTCAATTTGTGCAATTAGACCATGTTGTTGCATTTTTTTCTGTCCCTCGTTTAGCTTAATCATGTTAGTTGTTTTCATTAACAATATCTAGTTCCTTGCCAAAGGTTTTCTTCTACTACAGTTCATGAAGGACGAGACTTCCATGCTCTTGTGTCACCAGTTGCCGTATATGTAAAGACCGGAGTCCGGATTCAGTGGACCCTAAGGTTCATGGGGCACGTGAATCCTCCAATAGGAGGTGTGCACGTCGTGTCTTCGGCTTTCTCTATTCTGTTACCTAATTAACATTAAATAGTCTGTTTTCCTTGTTAGCCCGGTTCAACCGGATAGGAAAAAACAAAATCATTCGAAAGCCCAGTACTCCCATTCTTTCCCTCCTTCATTTGAACTCCCTTTCCCCATTTTCACCCGAGTCCTACCTCGAGAACACAAGACCACCGGTGGCGTCCTCATTGTTTCATTGAGCTCCGACGACATGCATTCAACTGGAGACAAGATTCAACCTCCAGTAAGCATCCCTTCTCCTTTTCCTTGAAACCCGGTTATTCATCTCAAATATTATCTTCTTCCTCTCTACAAGATTCAATGACATTTTTATCTTCACTATATTGTATAACACCCACAATCTCCTTGGTTTTGCAACTGGTGATTGTTCATAAATTTAATCACTGAATTAAAGATATTTAAATAAATCAATAAAGAAGTTTTTGGAATCTAAATGTCCTTAAATGAAATGATATAAGTTAAACCTTTACACATCATGCAAGCAGCCAAGAACATTCGATTTCATTATTCGAACCTACAGATATGAATGCAAATTACCTGGAAACTCAAAATACAACTTGCCAACAAAAATGGCTGAAATCCGGTGAACGAGCAATTGGACATTTCCTGGAAAAGAGAATATCAATGTATGGATTGAAAGCTCTTTATAATGATAAGCGCTGATGAGGTGTTGGCCATTTTAAACTGTTGTCTGGCTGCAGTGGATCTTGGAATTAAGAACTTGATTATAGGCTATTAGGCTCTGACTCATTAAATATTGTCAGAACTGTGAGCCTAATATCTTTTGATTGTTCTCTTGTAATTTGGTTTAGCTAGTTTGGTTAGTTTGGGTTTGCTAATCGTGTGGTTGTTGCTATGGTTGTTTGGGGTTGTGGTGTTTCTCATCATTTTGTACCATTTTTCTTGAAGAGTTTTTCATGTATTGGGAGGTTTTGTTTGATTGGTTTTTTGGGTGTTGATGGCAAGGTTTTGAGTGGGTTGGAGCTCAAAGGAGCTGATGGGTTGTTTTGTGGGGTGTAGGGGTTCTTCTTTTCAATGCCATTGAATCTTGTCACCGATTGAGTGCATGCCGTCAGAGCTTGGTGAAACAGTGAAGAACACTGTTGGTGGTCTGTAGGGAGGAAGAAGATAATATTTAAGATGAATAACAGGGTTTCAAAGAAAAGAAGGGATGTTTACTGGAGGTTGAATCTTGTCGCCGGTTGAATGCAAAGTGTCGGAACTCGGTGAAACAATGAGGACGCCACCAGTGGTCTTGTGTTCTTGAGCTTAAGCTCGGGTGAAAAGGGGAAAGGGAGTTCAAATGAAAGGGGGAAATAATGGCAGTGCTGGGTTTTCGATTGATTTTGTTTTTTCCCATCCAATTGAACCGGGCTGACAAGGAAAACAAACTATTTAACAAACACAGCCTTAAGATTTCCCTAGTTTTTTTTTCAAATCAAATACAGCCTTGTGGTTTTGTAGAAAGTGGAAGCCATTAGTGGAGTACTGCTACAAATTAGAAATGTGTTGTTTTCTTTACTCCTCTTCCTCCTCGTTATCCCAATCATATGAGGTTAGGTACATGAATTCTATTTCACCATTTTGTTCAGTTTAATGCTATGCCATATCTATTGTTAAAGTATTGGCGTTAAAAAATAACTATAAAAAAAAGTGATGCTTAAATCATTTGGGTCTATCCTCCCTTGCCTTCCTAGCATCTATTTGCAACAAATCTTTTCTTTCTATGAATACTGATGATGGTTAAACCATTTTTCTTAACACTGTTGCATGTAATTAATCTATTTGGATGTTAACTTTATCTTTATGTAAGGTTTTAAAAACTGACCTGGAATGGAACTGTTCTAGCGGTTTCCAAGTCAGTGGTTCGACTGTTTGGGTCGAACAGTTTGGATAGTTTGCAATTTTGCATTAAGGCAAAATGGGGAAGAGACTGATAGACTGATGTCGGCTAAGAAAGAAAAAAAGGAAAGAAAAAAAGAAAGAAAAAAAGAAAGAAAGAAAGGAGAAAGGAAGAAAAAGAAAAGAAGAGAAAGAAAGGGAAGGAGGGAAGAAGAAGGAAGAGGAAGAGGATGGTTCGACGCTCACTAGCGATGATAATGGTGACGGCGATGGCAAGGCGGCAGCAACAGACATAGATATGAGATCAATTTCTCTGCAACATTTCTTTGTCTTGGATCTCAGATATGAGGTCTTGTGTTTTTCTTCTCTACAACTTTTTAAAAATGTGAAACGCTGTTTGGGTCAAACGAGTCGACGGTTCGACCGCCCGGATTGGTGGTTTTTTGATAGAGTCAACGGTTTTTGACCCAAGAATGGGTTAGAGGTGAAATGGAACTAGTTGCTTGGATGGTTTCTGGGGCGAACGGTTCGACCATCCGGGTCAATAACAGTTAAAAAACATTGTGCTTATAAACTTTTAATTCCTACTGATTTCTAAGTTGTCTATTAATGGATAGAATTATTTTGCTATGAAATCTATGAAAAGATGCTCATGGATGTGTATGAAGAAGAAAAACTTATTTATAAATCCAACCATCTTAAAATTTTCAAAAAAGTACACCGTATTCCATTGCAGAATTTTGAATTCTTCTGTAGACATACAATAATTCAAAATGTCAAACACCTCATCCTAAACACCAATACCCGCTTGTGTATTGGCATCAATTCCGAGCTGACACATACCCCAACTGTGCAGTGAGACTAAGAATTCTGATGATGGTCTGAACAGTCATTCTCCCTAAAATTTTTTAGGTTGGACCCACCCTATCGTTACAATATGCCCATGTTGCCATGGGCTAAGGTGATTTTTTTTTTTTTTTCTGATGAGACCCTAAGGTGAGCTTGGGTTCCATATGAATGAGCACGTTGTTCAAAGGCTTTTAAATTTTTGAATTTTAATATGAGCTTAGCTACCTTTAGCCCACGGCCCCATCAAAAGATAAATTGGCATTGTTTCAGGCCTTTTGGTAAATAACCTATCTACGGGCTAGATTAGCGAATGGTGCAGTTCAAGTCCTATATGAGGGGTGAGCAAAAAAAACCAAAAAACTGAATTGAACTGAAAAAATTGATCGAAATCGAATTGAAAATTCGGTTAACCGAATCAGTCAGTTTGRTATATTTAGAAAATCGTAGGTACCACTTTGATTTCGGTTAACCAATATAGAAAACTAATGATTAACTGAATCGACTGATATAAATATATTTCTATTTATTTTATATATATATTTATGTATATTATATATAAATATGCATTATAGATAAATATATATTTATAATATATAATATATTATTTATTATTTAAAATATAATATTATATATAAATTTCTATTTTTATTATATATTTATATGTTTTTTGTAATATATATTATAATATAAAAAACCAAAAAACCGAAAAACCATACCGGTCAATCGGTTAATCGATCGGCTTCTGTTACCAGCTTTCCAAAAACCARTAAAACTGGTTTGGTTTCAAAAATAGGCCCACAGTTCGGTTACCGAACCGTGAGCACCCCTATTTATGAGAGCTTACTGGTTGTTCAACTTGGGGGTGTAGGCAAATCATTTGTATAATACTATAAATATAAAATATAAAATTATTAAAATTATAAATTTTATATTGATTATATATTATCTATATATGGGTAAACCTATAGGGGCTTTAAAGTGTTTTAGCTTCAGATTATAATGTTTTTAAAAGCAAATCTTACCAAACACTCAGAACATTTTTTTGGCTCTATTCTTTTCCACAACCCATAGTTCAAAAGCAAAAGACTATCTAAACGAAACCTTTAGATGTTTAGGAATAATATATTTCTTGCTAGTGTTTAGGTTTAACCGTGGGAGAATAATTTGGGCAATATCCAATTTTTGGTAAAATGGTGCACAACCCTACTCATAAGTCATAAACATGTTAAAATCAAATTAACAAAAAAAAAAAACTATCACCATCAACAACATGGATGTGCTCAAATCAGCAATCAAAACCCTTAATCTATGAGTTCATGTCCTTTATTTTAACTTTTAAGAATTTAAATTAGTGGATGACCTCAAAAAGTTTAAGTTGAGGTGTATCTTTTTCTGTTTCCTGCCATCATCAGTATATAGAGGAGGCTGCAAGACTGCAAGCATTCACTTTCTTTGGTGGGAATGAAATGAAATCCTCCCTGTTACTAAAGAACAAGCACATGTCTTCTGCTGATACAGTAAAGGTTTTGGATATGTACGTGTAG